TGCAGACACTCATTTTTTCAAAGGCAAAAATAACTTTTGTTTATCTCAGCTGCTGAGATTTCCTAGACAAACTTCCAAACAACTTTCCCCATGCTAGGTGGAGTATCTATATAGACGTGCAGGAATTTTTTTTCAAGTCTGTTTGCTTTCTCCTCGGATAAAGGTTACTACTTCTGCTTTCACTAAGCTGCTGAAGTAATTCTAGGTCTTCCTTTCCACTTTCACTCTTCTTTCTACTCTTCAACCACCCCAGTTCTTTGTGTCTTTCTCTCTTGAAAGTCTGTTGGGCTAAGAAACCTTAACCCAGAAACAAAACCCTCTTCACTGAGCTGGTGAATTGCAGCTTGCTCCTCCTGACAAAGGTTTCTAATATTAGTGGCTGTGTAGTACCTCTGTTGGAAGGCTGCTGGCTGTTTGCACAGCTTACTCCAGGCTCCTCTGTAGTTAGAGACTAATTTGTGCCAGAGCTTAGCACTAGTGACTAAAGTACATGAAGACTTAGGCCACATGAATTGTACTTTAACCCTTGTTTTTATCTATGGAAATGTAATCGGTAGATAAGGAAGTATAAATAAAATTTTAACTATAGGATATTCTGTAACAAAAGATAAGGAAATGTCTCAAGACACAGACAAAAAGAGTGCCTGGAGGCTGCGGGAGCAAATCAGAAGAAAAGATCCCAGACTCTGCAAACAGGAATGGATGAGTGTTAAGTGCTATCAGGATCAAGTCACCTATAGAGACTATAAAATCCAGTAACAATTGACAGGTAGGGTCCCTCTTCAGAGGTACCCAGCTGGAGTTGTAACTACTATGACATATTAAGCATAGCAGAAGGAACTCTGATTCTTTTATTAAAGCGGAACCTAGGGACAAGCCCTGTTGAGGTGGCATCCGCATAATTCCTACTATGGTCTAGATAGTCACTGTATAATTCCTATACCACTTCTCAGAATCCAAGCTCTAGCCCCAGCTGCAACTTTTTTGTTGACTACAACTAATAACAGTGATAATGTGAAATGTACTCCAAATGACCAAGCAACTGACCCGGAGAAGAGCCAGACCTCTCCAACGGTAAGGATTTCTCACTTAGTATGGAAATGGCTGAAGACAGAATCCAGTGAAGAAACAAATTCACGTAAGAAAGATCTAAAGAGCAACAGTTCTCACCTTTGTCAAGTCCCATGAAAACCTGTATATGTATGCCCCTCTGTGTGTGCGTGCAGGTGCGTGCACAAGTGAAACAGAAATCAAAAAACTCAAGAACGTTATCAGGAGCAGAAAGAAACCAACTGTACCTGTCTTTGTTAAGATACATAAGGTTAGTGCAAGAGATACAAAGAAACAAAGTATTTATTGTTAAAAGCTTTTCTACGAATCACTTGGCATCATACAATGAAGATATGGTGGCTACAGAGTAGAGGGAGTCTCTCTCTCTCCCCACCCCCCCCTTATACACGTATTTGCTCACTCTCACAAACCCACAGTTGTATTTTTTTAATGGAGTTCCTTTCTTCAATGAGATTGGAAAAGGTGTTTATCATACAGGATCTGGCAGAACAGATACATCCTATTAAACAACAGAGCAGTTACAGAAAGGAGACCTCTTTCTTCAGGAAAAAAGAGCTTTCTTTTCCCCCTCATCGCTTTGCACTGCCATAAAAGGGTTCTCAACACAAAAACAGGCCAAAAAATCCCCAATAGCTGACTAGCACTATGGCAAAATTAGGAGCCCTAGGATATGCACCAGTATTGATATATGCACTAATATTTTCACTCAGCTTCCACAGGATAAATTCTAAACAATATGTGGTGTAAAAATCTGCCAGCTGAAACAATGTCTGCATTACAACTACCAACCCTGCTAAGTCAAACAACTGAATCCCTGTTAATAACAGTGGAAAATGTTTTGACAATGTGTCTCGGAGTTATCTGCAGAACATTTGGTTCTGTCCTGCATGCCCATTTCCCAGGCTATATACAAGTTGAGACTGGCTCTCTCCCACATGCGCTCTACATGTATACATACACACATGCACACAAATACTGACTCACATGGACTGTGCTATTTCCAACAGTACTCTGCACATTATCCTGTGCTATGTCTTACTGGCACTTCAGTGGCGCTCTGCTCCATCTTTTAATTATATTTTCCACTGCTGTATTCTTCTCTCTATTCCATAATCAGTTTTTTCCCTTTAATTTCTAAGAAACACTTGGTCTGAATGCTGACTCATGGCCAACAGCAAAAAGGACTAAAGAAAGTGTTTCAAACCTGCCATGTCAACGCTTCAGCTCCAAGATATATTTCCCTTCTATTGGTGCTCCAGAATTCTGTTTTAACCCTTTCCTAGTCTGATGCAATATTTTCTAAGAATCTATATTACCATGTATACATTCACTACTATGCACAGAAGGTTTTTTTGCAGCATGCACAGATCTGTATTGTACTGTGGCAGCAACTGAAGACCCCCAAACATCTTCTTGTCATCTTTTGTACACACAAAAAGACAACCATCCTGAACTTAGAATGAATTCGTCATTCACAATCTGCCACAATTACATGCCTGTTCAGTACCACTGCCTTTCATTTTCGTATGCCCAAGCAGCATTTGGTCCAATTCCTCCCTGTATTGATCCATTATTTCTCTTCAAATATAATTTCTCTTTTTTGCAAACAAGCAAGCTCCTGATTGCACTCCTGGAACAGAGGACAGAACTCCTCTCTGCATCTCTTCAGTAAAAGGCCCAAACTGCTTCTGAACACAGGAAAAAAGCATCAAAATATCAAACCCCAGTTTGACCAAAGGAAAGACACGTGACGGCTATTCCTAAGACTCACTGTTGGTGACTAGTCTTTTTATGTATAGTAGGAATATGGACAGTGGGACATAAGAATTTAGATTTTGGACTGCCATCTTCAGTGCCATCTACAGTGGCTGACTCACGTATGTGCATGCATGTGTGTGCGTGTGCACACACACGCTTCAGTATAGCATTGGTGCTTAAGATAGATTCACCTTCCAGTGATGCCGTTGTGAACGCTGGGCAGCAATACCACATTGGTTTTGTTAATTTTCTCTGAAAGAGACTTGGAAACAGATCCGTCCAATTCTGCAGAGAGATTCTAAAAGCAGGCTGGACTCCATTATGTTGCCAGCTGTGGCACATGACTGAAATTTCTCTGTACAAATATTTGTCACTTCAGTGGGAAAGTTCTCAAAAACCAGAATTCCCTGGCAAACATCCTACAGGCATCTATCCCAGTCCCACGCCCTTCTCACATCCTTCTACATCTGTCTCTGTATTTCTTATTCCTGGAGACTGAATGCATCTCCTGAATGTAGCTGCTCTGTTTACCACATATAGAAAAGAGTTTTATACACTGGACAGCATGCACACAACTGACACAGCAGCGCAATAAATATGGAAGCACAGTAGCAGATGACCCCCACTGTTTTCCCTCATAATGCTTGCTTGTAGTCCAATTAGTGGAGCCCTAATGTAAATGAGATTTCAAGTCATTCATTGTCTGGCAGCTTCACAGCCCCTCACTATACTTAGTTTAAGATTGCAGGATTTCACATTTTACTGTAAAAAGAGGTTTTAACACAAAAAAGTTCCAAACAAAGCCATTCCCGGTAAAAGGCCTCAGGCAAAAAGGTACAGCTATGCTTTTTCTCACACCAGTGGTTTTGCATGATGGTACTGCCAATATATGACTGCACTCAAATGTAAATTTTCCAAGACATCTCTGAACACAATGGACAGAGTAAAAGCTATGGCACTGTTGTGAAAGCAGAGGTATTAAATAGAGGGGTGGAAGAGAAGACTGTCTCTTCTGTGACTGGACAGAAGAAACTTTTAAGTTCAACTAAGAAAGAAATTGGCAAAGATAGCAGAAGAGAAACGGACAATACTACAGCAAAATGCATTACTCATAAGAGTTGCCTCCCTTCTGTACCACATGTGAATTCGATTCTCTTTCCAAGAAAGTGAAAGAAAGGAGATGAAAAGGAGAAACCTAGGAGAGGGTTTTGAGTGCCACATCATCTGGACAAAGAGTTATACTTTGGCAGCTGCTTTTTGGACTAGAAATCATGTTGAGCTATTAATTACAAACTAATCTATGCACTACAAAAAATGAGGTGGGGGGAAGGATTTAATGAAGATGTCCCTGCTTCCAAGTAAATATGGTATAAATTCCCATAGTCTGAAATCTGTGGTACATTTACAAAGAAGATGGTTTCCAAGGGATATGTCCTCTGGGCTATTTAAGGCTGATAGTGCTTTATAACTCAACAGCATCCTATATAACCAGTATGTATCATGTATGGGGGAACTGAATAATTCATAGTAAGAGGCAGTTCACCTATGATCAAAATGTGAGACCAATCCAGAGACTCTGTTAATATCTTGAAGTAAAGAGAAAACTGCCATGTTATATGAAGTTAAGCTTCTTGGATTCTGCAACAACTTAACAATTACGGAAGTCCTCTTCAGTGCTGATCCCTACTCGTACACAGAGAAAAATTTAAGAAATTTTGTACTTTACATATATGCTTGTTGTTAAAATCTGCTGTGTTCAAGGCAGGTATCAGCAAAGTACCATTAAGTTATTTTCATTTTCTCAGAATGACTCATTTCTTGCTTCAACCTCAGCTTTGCTACCACTGATACCAACGATGCCTAAGAAGCTCTTATCCCAGGGGTAATTCTCTTCCTCTCAGTACAGCATATTGATCATACCCATCTAGTGATACGTAATTCAGTCTACCTTTCACTGCAGGGGCAAGGGAAAGAGGAAGTATTAGAGTTTGCAGAAGGGATGTCCTGACTCTACTTCTTTCTTCCAGAGGGACTCTTCATTCCAGGAATGAAAATCCTCCTAGTTTGTTCTCTCACATGGTGAGATGGCTTCTTGCACTGCTCCAGCTGAAATAAAAACTCTGTTCAGGAATATAAAGCATTCCACAGCTATAAGAAAGACTATCTTCTCTAATTCCAGAGAAGTTACTATTTGAGACTCTTAGGTAACATAGGATGAAAACTGCATTTATTTCTCTAAATCTGTAGTCTCCTATAACACCTATCTCAACCTCCCCCATCAATGCCACCCACGATTCTATGCATAGCCCATTAGGATTTGCTGTGTAGTGTCTGAACTTTCCACTAAAACTTAATGATGCGCGTTGATGAATGAACCTTTTATCTTCTTTGACACTTGTATGGCGCTGTCTGTGGCCTGGAATGGTTTGAGACACCACCCACGGGCAAGATTATCAAGGGTCACACTAAAGCTGGTGTTCTGACTGGTGTGGTGATGGTACATTCTCATCCAGTCAGGAAGCAGGTCCATGTGTAACAGTGAGCTAAGTAACACTGAAAGGTCCACTGGTTTGGTGGTCATGATGCCAATGGGATCTTGTGAGCAGTACTTATGTGTTGCGCACTCCCAGAGATTGTTCCAGTTCCTGCCGGCGCTGCTGGATCTGAAAGAAAACAAGAAACTGTACAGTTCAGCAGATTCAGTTGTTCAATGGCAAGAAGATTCATTTATAAGCCAGCAGTGTGGATAATTCCTTCATACCTTGCAGTAGAAATATCTGCTCACAGCCTCTTGAGACCATGGCTCATGATAAAATTCAGCTCTGCGTTCTTCCTCTGGGTTTCCAACTACATCAGTCATCACCTATGACAAAAATAAAAACATTTTTCACTATAGCTCTTCTACTGCATAGAGAAACATTCAGATTTACCTAGAGTCAAAATTTATCTACATTACTACATTAAAAATGTTCAGGACTGTTCTCTAAGCCCAAGGCAAATGGACAATGAATGGCATGTGTGCTTACTACCAAACCAAGATGGTTGCATACAAACTGTCAGCTGTGAACAGCTCCTAACTTCTGCTTCTCAACTGTGGCTGGGAATAATTCTAGACACCAGTAGTTGCCCAGGCTAAGTGCCACGATCTCTAACAATTTAACAGCATGGACAGTTTAGATCCAGTGCCCAGGAAAAGTTCCACGGCACTGTATATTTTATTAGCCTATGTATCCAAAGAACCTCAGTAGTTACCCATAAACAGGGTAACAGCTTGAAATTGTTAAGGTATTCACATCAGATTGAAGCACAACTCTATACTACTGTTGCCCTTATCTCAAAGCATACGTTACCTTGATTTTAAGTAAAGTTCTGATGGGGAAAGCATTAAGGAAAGATAACTATTAAAATGCGAGGAACAGAAAACTCTAATAATTCCAAAAAGGCCAAAGTGCTGAGCTGATTTTTCAGTCTCTATGCAACTGCCAAGAAACCAAGATTTGAAAAACTTGTAAGTTGTTTAAGGAATTAGTGGATGAGACCACCTGGAAAACTGCCGTTACGGACAAAGGAGCTGAACAGAGCTGGCAGCTCTTTAACGACATTTCTCCTACAGTGAAAGAGCTCTAAATTCCCATGTGTAAGAAACTGGACAAGGAAGGCAGGAGACCGGCATGGCTCAGTAAGGACCTCTTGGTCAAACTAAAGTGTAAGAAGGAAAGGCATAGGCACTGGCAGCAGGGACATGCATCTTGGGAAGAATATAGGGATGCTGCCTGGATGTGTAGGGATGGGCTCAGTAAAGCTAAGGCACAGCTGGAGATGAATTTGGCAAGGGATGCAAAGAATAATAAGAAGGGCTTTTACAGGTACGTTGGCCAGAAACGGAAGAGTAAAGAAGATGTACCCGTCCCCGGTAAATTAAACAGGAGAGATGGTGAAAACCAATATGGAGAGGCTAAGTTAATAATTTTTTTTTGCCTCAGTTTTCAATGGTAATCTCTTCACACATCTCTCAAGCCCCTGAACCTCAAGGAGGAAAGAAGTCCCTCTCATCACAGCAGAAGATCAGGTTTGAGACCATCTGAGGAACCTGAACATGCTCAAGTCCGTGGGACCTGATGAAATGCACACCAGGGTCCTGAGGGAACTGGCTGATGTAGTCACTAAGCCACTCTCCAACACATTTGAAAAGTCATGGCAGTGAGGCAAAGTCCCCAGTGACAGGAAAAAGGGAAACATCACATCCATTTTCAAAAAGGGTAAAAAGGAGGGCCCTGGGAACTACCAACCAGTCAGCCTCACCTCTATGCCCAGTAAGATTATGAAACAGATCCTCCTGGAAAAATGTCAGAACATATGGAAGGCAGGGAGGTGATTAGAGACAGCCAATGGCTTCACCAAAAGCAAATTGTGCGTGACTAATCCAGCGGCCTTCTACAATGGAGTAACTGCATTGGTGGATAATGGAAGAGCAACACATGTCAACACCTGGGTTGGGGCAATCCTCCGTATCAATAAAGGCTGGGGGATGAATGGATTGAGAGCAGCCCTGTGGAGAAGGATTTGGGGATAACTGTCAACAAAAAATTAGATACAAGTCAGCAATATGTGCTTGTAGCCCAGAAAGCCAATTGTATCCTGGGCTGCATCCAAAGCAGTGTGGCCAGCAGGTCGAGGGAAGGGACTGTGCCCCTCTACTCTGCTCTCCTGAGACCCCACCTGGAGCACTGTGTCCAGCTGTGGGGCCCACAGTGCAAGACAGACATGGAACTGTTGGAGTGGGTCCAGAGGAGGCCACAAAGATGATCAGAGGGCTGGAACGCCTTTCCTATGAAGAAAAGATGAGAGAGTTGGAGTTGTTCAGCCTGGAGAAGAGAAGGCTCCAGGGAGACCTTATTGTGGCCTTTCAGTACTTAAAGGGGGCTTAAAAGAAAGATGGGAACAGACTTTTTAGCAAGGCCTGTACTGATGGGACAAGGGCAATGTTTTAAAATTGAAAGAGGGTAGGTTTAGATTGGATGTAAGGAAGAAATGTTGTACAATGAGGGTGGTGAGACACTGGAACAGGTTGCCCAGAGAAGCTGTGGATGCCCCATCCCTGTAAGTGTTCAAGGCCAGGCTGGATGGGGCTTTGAGCAACCTGGTCTAGTGGAAGGTATCCCTGCCCATGGCAGGCGGGCTGGAACTAGATGATCTTTAAGGTCCCTTCTAACCCAAACCATTCCATGATTCTGTAAAAAAATAAAATTCTGATGACTATGCCTCCAGCATCACAGAATTAAGGGTAAATATAAATTTATTAGCATCTTTTGCAGAGTAGTACTGTGCAATCACAATTCTAATGACAGTAGGGCAGAACATTATAGAAAAGACCCTTATGGGACTGGTTGTCAGTCAGGGAGAACACTGAACAACTGTTGTATGTATGCAGCTAGAGAAGCTCCACAATACCTTAGTTTGTAAGTTCTTCAAGCTAAAGGCTGCTTTATTTAAACATTCTTTCAGATGCCTGTCCTAATAATAATAATCATAATCTTAATAGTAGAGCTTTGGAAGACTATTGACTAACAAACTAGACATTTATATTTGAAAGACACAATGATTTTATTAAAATAATTTCATGGATTCATTAATACAACTGGTTTTGAAGCACCTGAGTTAAAGACACAAAGTGTGAAACTTCATGAGGAACAAATTATTCATTTTTGCTGGCAAACAACTGAACTTTACATTCCATTTCTTGGGTATCTCAAAGCTAAGCTCAGAGGCAGCTGATATTTAATCTGCCTATTTCTTACATAAGATTAAATTATGAACTAATAAAACACCCAAATTATGTTATTGTACTATAGGATGCTCCTACTGAGTTTTATATAGCTTTAATTTTACACAGTACACCAACACAGCCTTGCACTTTGATCTTACCATCCAACCACAAATTCACCTACCACCCCCATTAAGCACCACTGTTCCACTGGAAGTGGAATACAACCTAAACTGTCTTTCCTGCATACTGTCTGCTCTGAGATTGCAGTATTCCACTCATTGTCTGTCTTCCACCAATTTTTCATCCTGGATGTTTTAGCTATACACTCTATATACATCTAGATAAAATTCTTACTTAAAAGTTCTGGTTCCACTATTCATTCTTCTTAAAACCTTAGCTCACCTTAAGATCCCTACTTTGGGACCGGAGAAGGTCTTGGATGTATCCTTTGGGATCTTTGGAGAAACTCAGCATGAAATCACGTTGTATTTTTAACTGATTTATGGATTCGATTGTCTCATGAATCTGACAGAAAAAAACCAAAGCAGATGTTACTTAATCCCTCCCATGCTCCAAGTGACCCTGAGGTCAACCCCATTAGCATCTTTGTGCTTCTTGTAATGTGCAAAGGTGACAATTCTACACCGCAGACTTGTGCAGGTTCCCATGGCTTTTTCCCTTCAAAGAGGGAGTTAACCACAATCCTGCAATTACATTTTGGTTTCACTTGTACTGCAATACAAGTATGTACAGGATTCTTCTCCACTTCCTGCGTTGAACTGCTGGATGGCATGCTATATACAAAACTGAAGAGCTAAGTCATGTCACTGTAAAATGTAATAATTTCCTGTGTGTAATCAGTCTTTCTGCCAAGTCTGTGATTTTTCCGGAAAGGTGCTATATAAATATGTCTTTAAACAGTGCCCAATGCAAGAAAGCAGTTATTCTCCTGGTTAATCATCATCCTATATTCAATACCCTGCTGTGATCCTTAAAATTTCTAGTGATTGCCTTATCAAGTCCATGTTAAATAAACTCACATAACAGCCATGACTTCTAGACTTTTTCTTAAGAGAAAGCCTACTAAAGTCACAATGGCTGCAAAGAGAAGAGTGTGAACAGGGAGAAATCAGGAGTGTGGAAGTTTTATAGAAAATTAGTCATATATTAGAGAATACATGAGAAATACTATGAAAGAAATGAGTATTAACATGCAGGGAACAACAAAGACTCCAAAGAGAAGTCAAGGTCCTATAATCATCCTGGATAACAAAATCAGGTATGATCAATGGGAGGACAGTTAATGAATCATTTGGACATACACACAGAAAAGCAAACTTTTGCTACCCTGTTCCTCTAAATTTCTAGTTTGAGATTGTAAACCTATCTTGTTTAATTTCATGTATACATGTATTTTGCCAAAACAGCTAATGTGGCCAGGCACGTGGGAGAAAATAATCCTCCCTTGATCTGGCTATGCCATCAAGGCCACCACTGTAGGTACAACAATATCGTATGTTAACAGAAGAGAGCAGCTGTCAACTTAAAATCATTCCTTATTTGGGAAAAGTATGTAGCCATGCTGAAAAGAAATCTGTTGGGATGCACTGAGTTTCCACTAGAGGACTCTGTGGCAGCATAGCAATAAATGGTACAGATGATAATAATGCAGCAGTCAATGCCTCTTTACCCAGAAGTGACTTCAGTAACTTTACTAATCACAGCTTGCCCTCTGCTGTAGCAAATGCTCAAAAAAAGAGGTGATACAGACATGGGAAAAGGTGAGCTGTACTGGAAACAGAACAATCCTATGCATGCTGCATGCAAGCTTATATAGGCTGGGAACCAAGTGGCTAAGCAGCTGCCCTGCTGAGAAGGACCTTTCTCAAGAGCCGTAAAACAAAAGATGCCTCAACAGATACCACAATCCATAGGATTGCTAGTGTCCAAATCCCCTTTAAAATCACATGAAGACCACAGTTTAACATATTTGTTTGTATTAGAGGTAAACAAACAGAAACCGGGCCTGACTGTATGTCACATAAATCATCTCTGGTCCACGATGTCACACCTCTTCTTCCCTTGCTCTGAGAAGCCACTTTTGTTTATACCCTACCAAGCTAAATCAGCCATTTACACATGTGCCAAAGGCTGGCTAACAGTCCCCGTGACATGAACCCCTAATGCAGTCTGCAGAGCTCACCACTGCTATAAGACAGATACTATTATTTGAAGTGCGCATGATCCTCTTTCAATAACACTGAAAACAAGTCTGCCAAACTGCTCCAAGTGATTTTTCTGCCATGCATTTTCCATATTTGCACCTGTGGCAGAGAGCTGTTGTGCAACCGTGCATGCCTAAAACACATCTGGAGTATGAGATTCTCTTAGCTTTGCCTTATAGCAATTTAGCAAGATACCATGACTTCTCAATAAAAAGTCACAGTCAAACAGTTCAGATAATTCTTGACTGCCAGGGGACTCATTATACAATGGAGCACAAGTCTGTGAAACTCTGCTTCTACCACCTGGACAACTGTGTCAGGCCCTGGATCAAACCCTAAGCGGGAATGCCACTCACCCCTCTGTATTCCCATTCCATGCGGCTGATGAAAGCACATCCAATTGAGAAGTCCCTGTCTCATGACATTACTGTCTTTGACGTGTGACACCAAACCCACATGAAGGTACACAATGAGTATATATGCCATGTGATACTTTACTCCTGGGCTAGTACCTTGTTGTCCAATGCTGTAATCTCCTGTTGGTTAGCTGTTGAGAGAAGAAAACTACTCATCTGTCCCTTTAATGGGTCTTCAACTTCTACATCTATGTCATAACAAGCCGTCTTCTTCTGATCATTGGGGTCAACACTATGGAGAGTAAAACAGAAGATCATAAGAACTGCCATAATGAATCAGAATAAATATCCATCCAGCCCAGAATACACAATTCGATAAACCCTGTTGCAGATGCTGTAAGAAGAGTTTAATAGGGTATCTTTATACATTTGTATATCCTAGTACATCCTCTCATCTTTCATCAGTCAGAAATTGGAGACTTTTTGAGCTGGAGCTTTTGTCCAGACCATCAACTTTAATAGCTACTAATGGACATAGTCTTCATTAAATTGCCTAACATCTTCCTGAGATCCATTATAACTCTGGCCTCCAAAGCAATCCCCAGCGGCCTGGTCGCTGCTTGACTGTATCTTTTTTGAGATAGGGTAAGTAGAACTGTACACTACCATTCTGGATGGAGCACATAATGACATTTTATTTGGTTCTCGATTCCTTCTCTAATAATTCCTACCACTGTAATTGTTTTGGCAGCTATGCAGCATTGTAATGATTCCCAGCTACTTCTTAAGAGGTAGCAGTGAATTTGGGGACCACCACTTTGTTTGTAAAGTTGCCTGCTTAATTCTTCAAAGAATATAACCAGTCATGCCTTCCTGTTACAGAAGTCATATTGATTCTTCCCCAATAGATCACATGTCTGTTAAGACCATTCTCTACTACAGTTAGTACCAATTGGCTTCCAATATCCAGGATTGGTCCCGGTATGTTTTTGGCATCACATTAACTACTTACCACCCCGCTGGTACTGAAGGAGATTTCAGTAATAGGTAACACATTGTAGAGAATCATAGCATCATTTAAGTTGGAAAAGACCTTTAAGATCATCGAGTCCAACCATAAATGTAGCACTGTCAAGTCCACCACTAATCCATGTCCTTAAGCACCATGTCTACATGTCTTTTAAATACCTCCAGGGATGGTGACGCAACCCCTTCCCTAGACACCCTGTTCCAGTGCTTGAGAACCCTTTCAGCAACGAAATTTTTCCTAATATCCAACCTAAATCTCCCTTGCCGCAACTTGAGGCCATTTCTTCTCGTCCTATCGCTTGTTACTTGGGAGAAGAGATGGACACTCACCTCACTACAACCCCCCTTCAGGTAGCTGTAGAGAGCGATAAGGTCTCCCCTCAGCCTCCTTTTCTCCAGACTAAACAGCCCCAGCTCCCTCAGCCGCTCCTCCTAAGACTTGTGCTCCAGGCCCCTCACCAACTTGGTTGCCCTTCTCTGGACATGCTCCAGCACCTCAATGTCTGTCTTGTAGTGAGGGGCCCAAAACTGAACGCAGTATTCAAGGTGTGGTCTCACCAGTGCCAAGTACAAAGGGACAGTAGTTGGTAGTTAAGCAATTTTATGAGAGTCCTGCATGAAAAACCATTTACAACTCCTCATTTAGTGTGTGTTAAATTTATTTCTATTCGATATCTTGGTGTGAAAAAGTTTTTCAGAGACGCTCTTTCCACCTGCCCTCCAAAACCCAAACTGCACAGGTATGGGACCTTCCCTAATCTCTAAAGTCAACATTGATTGGAAGAATGAGTTTATTTTCTTATCTGACTTTAAGCAGCTGACTTCCAACAACAGGCTTTTTAAACTTCATTAATTTCTCAGTTTCAGTAGTAGGCTTCCTACTTCCAATATATTTAAACCAATCTTACTATTTTCTTTTTCATCTTTAACTCTTTGGCTTGTCCTATCCTAAATTTATATTTAATTTGGGGGGGTTTAGACTTAACATTTACTTTCTCTTTATCTTTAGACTAAAGTTTCTTAGCAAGAAAACAGTTTTTCAGCCCAGTAGTTGGTAAATCAGACTTCAGTCATTGTCACTTGTAATATAAAAATACTGGCTTCTCAACACTATTTTAAAAATGTCTAGGTTGTGTGCATGTGCTGCAGGTAGTAAAAAAATTGGCTCAGGATCTCATTGAGCTTGTTAGACTTGGGGGAGCAGAAGAACTTCCATGGATGGATTTGCTTTAGGAGTGTTGCAAGCAGGTGGAGGGAGGTGATCCTTCTCTATACTCAGCACTGGTGAGGCCACACTGGGAGTACTGTGTTCAGCGCTGGGCTTCCCAGTACAAGAGAGGTATGGACCTACTGGAGAGAGCTCTGCAAAGGTCCGTGAAGATGACTAAGGCATTGGAGCACCTCACACCTGAGGAAAGGCTGAGAGATCTGGGACTTTTCAGCCTACAGAACAAAAGGCTTTAGGGGGGAGGGAGAAGGAACTCAGCAATAACTGAAGGGAGAGTTTAAAGAAGATGGAGCCAGGCTCTTTTCAGTGGTACCAAGTGAGAGGACAATAGGCAATGGGTGAAACTGAAACACAGGAGGCTCTGTCTGGATACCAGGAAACACTTTTTTACTTTAAGGGTGACCAAGCACCGGCACAGGTTTCTCAGAGAGGTTATGGAGTCTCCCACGTTGGAGATATTCAAAAGCTGCCTGGACACAGTCCTGGCCAACCAGCTACAGGTGACTCTGCTTGAGCACAAGGAGGGCATTTGATCAGATGATCTCCAGAGGTCCCTTCCAACCTCAAGCATTCTGAGATTTTGTGATGCTGTGGCCTTCTGCAAGTGAATCAGCAGCAGAAGGAAGACTAAGGAAAACCTGGGTCTGGGTCTGGTTCCGCCGCTGATGTCGAAAGCCATGAAGGCTGTGGCACTCAGCATTGTCTTTGCCTCCATTATGTGAAGAAAAGTGAAGAAAAGACAGAGCCAGCCTCCTCTTGGAGGTGCACAACAACAAGATGAGAGGCAACAGAAACTCACTGCAATGTGGGCAGTTGACTCAGTATAAGGAACTTTTTTTAAAAAAAAAACCAAACAAACCATGATGGTACCAAAACGTTGGAACAGGCTGCCAAAAGGTGCTGTGGGATGTCCATCCTTGGCTGGAGGTAGTCAGAACCTGACTGGACAAGGTCCTGAGCAACCTGCTGTAATTTGAACCTGTTTTGTGAAACAGTTGGTCTGCATGACTTGCAAAGGTCCTTCTGATCCAAACTATTTTGTGATTACTGAGGCTTAAACAGCTGTCTACCCAAATCATGGTTTTGCCAGATATTCAGTGAATCCTTTGTGTTGTTTGAGGACTAAGAGGTCACTTTCAGCCTGTATGTTACAGAGACTAAATTACAGTTAATTTTAATTTTGTTTCTGCAGGTGCAAATACATGTTGTATGTACTGCACGTGTTGCAAGTAAAACGTACAAGTAATATATTTAAATTATGAGCACATATGCAAACAAGGCTTACAACTCCTTAGGAGGGTTACAAAGGAATCAGCAGAATGCTAGTCTGTCTAATATCCTCTAAGTATATTTAAGGATATCTCCAAATCAAAAACTGTGGAGGACATTAACACTGACCAAAAGTAAATGAGAACAGAGCAGCCATACAGCAACAGGGACTCTCCATAAAGCTCGGCTACTCAAGCAAACTTTTTTTATACAGCCAGATGGAGCCCAGTAATGACATTCACCCTTCCAGAACACTGGCTAACTAACCTTAACACCTCTGAAAACAAGAAATTAAGATCTACACTTCATCTTTGTCCTTCCCTTACTTCAGACCTGGCACGAGCCACCAGGAAGGGCTAATCTGTCATTACCAAACAAACAAACAAACAAGTCATGGATAATCCAATCCACCTTTTGAAATCCTCCGTTCAAAACAGGTTAATGGTAGTACTGTAACAGATGAAGTATCTAAGGCTATGGGAGAGGTAAGGTTGAGAGACAGAGAAATCTTTTGCTTGGCCAATAGCATGGCTGGAGAAGAACAATTCTGGAAGAGGCGGCCTTCCTTCACATTTGAGGCTACCATTTCATACCTGAGAGTAGCAGATTCCGCTCAAAACACTGATCAAGATCAGCTGCAGGTTTCTGTCAAAACGGCTAGAGTACCTCATGTAGAAAGTACACTGACTTTAAGCCAACTGCAAGGTCCGGGGTGGTACAAAGTCAAACTAGTAAAACTTGGTAACATATTTGAATTGTCACAGGGAGTTAATGCTAGAGCTGATATATGCTCATTACATTTCTGCTTCTGTATTTGCAGCTGAAAGCAACATTTATCTTACCCTTGAACAATGGTGTGAAATAGAAGCGTCCATCTTCAGATCAAGTACATACAGGAAACAACTGCTCTGAGTGTGCGATAACCTAGTTATCTGCTAGATGATTTGAGAAAAGGATGGTCACCATCTATGAAACAGAAGCAATATTACTATGGAAAGAGGTGACTGGTTGTTGTTCTGGCAAAACAGAAACCTTGAGGAACACTGCTAGTAGGAAACAGAAACAGGAGTACCGTAATGCCTGTGCCTCTGCTAAATTCAATACAAAAGTAATAGGTTGATGTTGTCAGGCCTATACTCTATAGGACACGTACCAGCTCCTCCTGGTCTTGACAAATACTATATTAGAAAGTACAAGAGAGGCAGAAATAAGAACGAACTGTTGCTTGTGCTCTGTCAACTTCATCTGCTTCAAGCATGTCTGAATCACTGCTTTCCAAGACAGACTCTCATACTGCCAGATTCCTCGGTTAGAAATGTACTGCGCTCATCTGCAGAAAAACTAATTTTGCTGTGTCATGACCACTGTATTGGGCAACTCAGGTAACACTTTGGAGCAATAACTGTCCTTCTCCCTGTGTTTATTTACTGTTCCATTAATCTTACCCATAAATTTTACCATCAGATTTCACATATTACGCATGACACTGGGGAAAAAAAAAAAAAGCTACACCGTGCCGGGCCGAGAACTGATCTTTCTGGTCCCACTAGAACTGACCCACTCACTGATATGTCTCCAAATTGACAGTGCGGGACTTTTTCATTTAAGGTAACCAATAAACTCACTCATACTGTAAGATTTTTAATTGAGTTGTCATTGATAACAGATCACATGACTTGAAGAAATCCAATAGTATCAACACAATTTCTGTTATCAAAGAATCCTGTGATCTCCTCAGAAGAAGGCAGGCTTGTTGAACAAGATTTAATTTTTACAAAGCTGCACGTGGCTTTATGAAGCATTGAAGTGCTCAGAGGTCTTCACTCCAGCAGAGGCACAAGGATCCCCTCAAATAATGTAAAACTTAACACAGAGATCAAGAGAAGCCCAGGCAGGGAACAAAAAGATCCCTCCTCATCTAGAGAGCAGGAAAACCTTCCAGAGGGGAAGAGAGATTCCCCAACGCTGAATTTATATTTTGCTGTCTGCCTGTCACCAAGAAAAGGAAGGGCTATGAGTGACCCTAACTGTCACTAACTGGCAGCTGTCAAGCAGAGAGGAGAACATCAGGAAAATTTTGTTTAATCAACAGAAGTGCATTCTCCCCTCCTTCTCTGCACCTGCAGCAGAGAGTAGTCTCACCCAGCAATCCTCAGTGCAGAGGGGAATCCCCAGTCTTCACTTCCCAACCCTCAAAAAATCATGTTCTAATTCAAAAACTTTTTCCCTCTCTTTTTACTTTGACGTCCCACTAACTCCTAGTCCTATCCCTCACTTAGCCCCAACTTCATCGTAACCACCATCATTCTAATAATGCAATTGTGTTGGGGAGTGGTGCATTTCTAAATTTATTTAGAATCTTTATTCTGGCTATCTCATTACCAAATAAATATTAGCAATATTACTACCACAACAACCCTGTTGCATTTTTTTTCTTTTTCAAAAAGGGCAGGTGGTTGGTGTCTGCAGAGTGGTTCTAAAATACTATTATTTGTAGAATGAGTTTAGAATACCTCATGTTTTAGTCTCTCTGCACATACTTTAAAACTAGAATGAATAATTGTGATCTAGTTGACCTTCTTGTAAAAGGCAGGCTTGAGGATTTATCTGAATTAAGAGCACATATATTTAAATCACTAGTGATGACAAATTCCCTGTAGCAGTGTGCTGGTTTTGGCTGGGGTAGAGTTAATTGTCCTCATAGTAGTTAGTATGGGGCTGTGTTTTGGATTTGTGCTGGAAACAGTGTTGGTAAGTTGGTTACTGCCAAGCAGTGCTTGCACAGAGTCAAGGGCTGTTCTGCTTCTCACCCCACTCCACCAGCGAGGAGGCTGGGGGGGCACAAGAAGTTGGGAGGGGACACAGCCAGGACAGCTGACCCCAAATGACCCAAGGGCTATTCCAGATCATATGATGTCATGCTCTGCCATAAACTACAGGGCAGGCACTGCTCAGGGACTTGCTGCACATCAGTCAGTTGATGGTGAACAATTGTTTTCATTTGCATCACTTGTCTTTCTTGGGTTTTATTTCCCTCTCCTTGTTATTTTCCTTTTCATTACAATACTAATACTAATAATTATTATTAGTATTGTTGTTGTTGTTATTATTATTATTAAATCATTAAACTGTTTTTATCTCAACCCATGAGTTTTCTCACTTTCACCCTTCCGATTCTCTCCCCCATCCCACGGAGGCAGGGGGTGGGGGTAGTGAGCGAGCGGCTGGGTGGGTCTCAGTTGCCGGCTGGGGTTAAACCATGACAAACAGTTGGCAAATTGTTTCCATGGTTGACTACATTCACTCTGAAAAACTTAATGCAGGGGGGCAGGGCAGAGGGTCTGTGAGAGTCTGTTTAAAGCTCAACTGGACTAGGCCCCTAAGTATCCTGATACAATTTGAACCCGCTTTGAGTTGGGATGGGGGGGGAGAGCTCTAGATGACCACCAGCGATCCCTTCTACTGTACATTATTCTGCGATTTTATGGGTCTGAAAATTACTTACTTCTTTTAAATTCAATGCCAGACTTCCAGATTTATTTTAGCTTAGCTTGAGACTGTAAAGACTCTATTGAGAAAGTATTCCCTATTCTCAGGAAATTAATACTTCCCCCTTCCGCAGCCTTGTGTCAGTGCAGTGTAATGCTGACAGGTGCTGTGTGGTGCACACAGTGTTATCAGAGAATACTACTATACACAAGGTCCTGCTCTTTAGCTTGTATCTCACAGAAAACATAGTGCCTCTAGAACCTCTTTGCCAATTCTCTGCCCCTGGAAACATAACCATCAGTTCCTTGTCATTTTTCTCCAAGACAATGACTATGTACCTCTGCGGACCTCAGCTTTTTTTGGTCCATCAAACAGGTCACTGTGTTGTCTTCAATGACGGTACGTACACAGCTATCAATCTGCACGGTAGTCAAGCTGCTTTTTCATTAGTCTGTTTTATATATTCAAATTAATCAAAAAGCAAATTTTATTTTGATAGCCTACGTAATATTTAAACTTCTTATCATATATATTACAGATTTAAAATAAAGAACCCAATTTTAAGCATATTGAGAAATATTTGTTGTCAATATTCTGTAGGAAACAAAATCACTATGCTTAGTATTAACAATCATGTTTAAACACCCAGAATCAGTGTTTTGACCAAGACCACAAAGGAACTTGGGAAAGACTGAAATACCTTAACAGCAAGGTTGCAACCCCCAAAAGTCTCTTCATCCCCCCTGCCACACACACAGTTGTCACTTAAATGTGGAATGTGCTGGAAGTGCCCTAGATAGCTGAAAGTTGTATTTCATCTACTATGCCAGAAATACATCTGTTTTGACAAGGATGCCAGAAGCTCAGTATCTTGGTCACAATGACCTTCTCTTTTATTGTAAATCTTTTGAGATCTAACTAGTTGGCATTCTTAGAATAAGACTAACACCCAGATAGCTGACCCAATCCCAACAAAGCATGCATGGACTGGCCACTGTATTTGGAACTGTAATACTGTTGTACATTTCACATAATAACTCAGTGATTAGAATGACTGCCCATGACATACAATATCTTATTTCAATTCCTTTTTTTCCCCTCTAAGTGCATTCAAATTCTCATTCCTCTCCCCTTAGGAAAGAAACCTGACCAACTCCCTCAATGGTATCCTAGTAGGGATAAAAATAGGAAGTTGTTTTGCATACTCCTAGAGAATTGGTGCCATTCTACTGAAAATAATTCAGAATTATGTAGACCAGAATGACACAGAGAATGAACACACAAGTCCAAGGTACTCACCTGGAAGTTATAAAAACTGGGTTCTGGTCCCTGCTACTGTAGCTGTTTCTGTATTTTTATATAGTGAGTGTTTTGCACATGACAATGCTGAGCTGACTGACCAGCTTACCTGATGATATGGTTTATCACTATAGGGTCTGGTGGCAGCAGCAGGTTAGTGAGTCTCTGAGGAATCTCAGAAAACTTTAGCCGTGGACAGTCAAAGATCTGGAATACAATAAAGCATGTTATCCTTGTCCAAAACCTAACTTGCAATTAAATGAGAAAGGAAGAAATCAACAGTTCAAAAGTAAGATGATTTTGAAAGCTATAATTCTGGCTCCTTGCACAGAATAAACTTTTGGTCACTTTTGTCCCTGCAAATTGCTGCTGTACTTACAATCTGGGCTAGCTGACAGATGCATCAGCTGACGACAATTTCAGGTGTCCCACTTTTGGTTTAGCTGTTGAAGGGCACAGGCTACTTTAATGGGACATCAGGATGAACTGTATCAGTAATAGGAGAGAAGTGAATGCTTCCTCTCTCACTAAGGGTTTGCAGCAGCATCTCATAAAGAAAACAATTTATTTTTTTACTGGAGGAAATATAAAACTATTTCCACCTGTCAGAAGAGAGACACTACTTGTAGTATTGCATCTATAAACAGAAACAGGCTTTGCAGCTCTAGAGACAAAGGATGCAGGCAGGGTAGAAAAGAATGGACTATCAGGTTGTAGAACAGACATATGAAGTCAGACTGTTCAACTAGGATGCTGTGGTTCCTCAGACAGAGTATCTTCTGAAATCTGTAATTTTCCTTCTGGAGTGAGGGAATGTGGTAGCAGAAAAACCTAGAAGCCAGCTCTGGCTTTTGAAATACCTTTGGACGCTTTTTCTTTCTTTTGCTTGTAACACAGTGGATTTCAAATCTCCCAGCTTACATAAACAGTGTTTCTAAACAGAAAAGGATCCTTCTTCATGAACTCTAAAATCTGTCTAATTTGCTGGACTTATCTGCATCCAGGAATTCAGCCAGCTAGTTTCTAAAGAGCAAGGAGGTAACAAAATCTACTGAGTCTGCAACTCACTCTTTATTTCAGTTCTGAATTCTGACACTTGACAGAGACAACTGTGGAATTCCCACTCAAAATCTTTGCATACCAAGCTCCATCCAATCTGCAGTCACCGCTGGCTCAACACCCATGTCAAACTCCTATCGTGGATGCCCAAGAGATGAGAGCTTTAAGAAGGGGAAAGGGAGCAAGGGCACACAATAGTGAGAGAAGGGGTGGGAGACTGGAAACTAAGGCTGGATGGAATTTTCCTAAAGCGTCTAAACTTATAACTACTGGCTCTGAAAGCCTATATGGCTATAGTAATTCTGATGCGTGAGGTAACTCATTCAGTGATAATTTTTTAGTCTATACTGTATTGTGTCATTAGATATAACCATAAACACAAGAGTGCAGGGTTTAGAAATGCTGGCATACCAAATGAGAAGACTGGTATCTAAAAGCAAATGCTAGAGACACTGATGTGTTATGTTCTGCTCCCCTAAGTGATCCGTGCGCTTCCAGCTATGACCATGATTTTTTCCAGGAGTTACATGTCTAAAACTATATAGTCTACAGAAATATCATCACACTGGAAGGCATTTCTAACCCAATTCCTTTACCCTCCATATCTCAATCTTAGAGCATTAGGGTGAAAAACAAAAAAACTCATCATGAAATGTTTCATTTGATTTAATGGGATTCATTTTCCTAAGTACTAACATCAGTTTTGAAAGCAAAATTAGCTACTTATGATAATTTTGCCAGAGATGTAAGGAAAATGGAAACACTCAAATCAATCCCATTTATGATTTAAATCTATGCAAGCACTGCATTCTTATGAAAACTATTCCAGATTAGCCAGCTCTTGCAGGGATTGAGGTTCAGTATTCTAGAAAAGGAAATCTGCTACTTCTCAACTCTCTCATCTGACTAATCCTTGGAGGATGGGAAGACGACAATTGTCAGGTCTGATGGTATTCCTGAAGAGTTCTAACACAAAGGAGACCTATGAGGTAATAAGCCTCTGATGAGATACACAAAGAGAAGATGGCTTCAGCAAGTTCTTATTCTAGCAAAGTTCTTAAGCTGAAAATTAAAATAAATAAAAGTGAGAAGGCTCTCCTGCTTACCATAAGTAAGGTATGAACTGCTGTACTGGATCAGACAAAGGATCTACTACACATCTACCACACTATCCTGCCCTTGATAGTGGCCAAAAGAGGATACTAAAGGAAACATGTAAGAACAGGAGAAACATATACGGGTGCTTCCCCAAAAAACCTCTCCCAGTCTCCACAGTTTTGCAATTACCTTGCATTTACAATAGCCAAAGATTTTTTTTCCATTGCTTTGTCACTTCTGGAACCTATGTACACTTTTAGTATTTGTAATGTCCTATCACAAGGATTAATTTGCTACCTGCCAGTTTCAGCTGATGGCCTCTAATTATCTAATTATTTACCAAAATAAAAAATAATTACTTCTTGTTCACCTTTTCCATTCTGCTCATGATTTTTCAAATCTTTTTCACATTCCCTTTACCATTTCCTCTTTGGGCTGGCGCAAAGAAAACTGAGTCTAAATTGGCTATAGATAAATAGAGAATGGAAATCAAATCATCTAAGCAACAGAGCGAACAGCTTTGTAATTTTGCCAAAAATTTTTACAAGGTTTTAAGATGGAATTTTCACTATATATGAAAAAGACTGCATGCTGTAATTCTCAAAAAACCCCCCAAACAACCAAACAAGAGAGTGACTATATAATCCAGATCACTTTGATTCTATATTCCTATAACTACCCATGAATCTCACAATTCTTTTGTTGTTATTTTCAAATGTGGAAAAACCCAGTGCTGCCTTTAAGTTTATTTCAAGCATTGGTCACCTTAAACCATTGTAAAGCAAATTAATATCATAAAATAAAAGCTTAAAAAGAAAACTAGGACACAACTTTCATTGCAACATTTACTTTCAATGCTCACTGAAACATTATTCATTTATTATAACTGCCAGTACTTTCCCTAAACAGAAGTCTGTCACAAATCCTACCTTCAGGTACTTTCAAAATAAATTAGGTAAGCCTGAAGCTACAGAAAAACAAAGCAAATTAAGATAGTGATAGCTCAGATAACATTACCTTTACAAAATAAATATAATCATATTTACGGAAAAGGTGGAGATGCTTTTAAGTGACCTTCTTGGTTAATTCTAGAGGTCATTGTGAAAGACAAAAAGTCTTAACGTACTGCAGATCATTGAGGGCATTTTGTAATCTGAAGCAGACTTAGGAAAAGATAGCTTTTCTAGTTATATCTTCCATGTCTTCTGCCCTTCATAAACAGGGAAAGAAAAGGGAAGAAAACAGCTCTACATATGATTCAGCAATCAGAATCAGAAGATTATTTCATGTTTCTTAGTACAAAATGATCCATCAGGGGGGAAAAAACAGTAAATCAATACAGTGGAACAATTAAAGAAAGTCTTCCTTCCTGGAAAGGCCACAACTTATGTGGGAGCACTGAACCACCAGATGTGGTTTTTTGACAACACTGGCACATGGGGAGGGTGCTTATTATATTAGTTGTAGTGATTGTTGAAAGCCATTCAGTACTGAGGATACTACAAATCATATGGGGAAGATACAAATCAGGAATTTTCATCCATTCAATCTGCTGATGGATATTATAGTTTGCCTCTAAAGAGCTACTGCGTCCAAAAAGGAGTTACCTGCTGGAAGTACTTGTCGCAGTTAATGTATTCCTTATCATGGGAGTCTTGCAGCTTATTTGTTTTGATGTACTGCCAGAGAGCCTGGATGATGGCTGATCGGGTCTGTGTGTGTATCCCCAGCAAACGGGCTAATCGCGGGTCCAGTTTAAACTGTGGAGGCTGTTAACAGAAAGAGAAAGAGATGGAGATGGCAACAGAGAGAAAAGCAGACAGATACACAAGTATGAAGTTTCAGCTTTAATTCTCAGGGGGCTCTGTTCCTCAGGAGAAGCACCCTATTCAATGGCAGAGATTGCAAAAATACAAGTTGCTCAGATGTGTACCACTGTCGGTGCTCTGGAAGAACTATCCAGGGTTTGAAAAGAATGAGGGATGCTCCACACGTGCTATGCACACAGACTATCTGTATCACGTGCTTTAGATAGTAACAACTTGCATGCAGACTCAGGAAAGAACTTTCCTTTTCAACATTGATGCATAATTTGACTTTAGAGAGTGGAAGAAGAAACAGAACGGCCCTTCCTCTGAACTACTGGAGGTTATCCACAGATACAGAGAATGAAGTCAGGATGATGCTTCTACTGTTGCTACTAACTGCTCAGCTGCCTCACATCAACAAAGTACCTTGGAACTCTGTTTTTCAGGCAGGTTCCCACCATTCTGCTGCATACCAGAAAATTTACCCAACCACAACTAGTCAATGGAATGTATTTCTTCTCCTAACCTCTGTGATACAACTCTTCAACTACCCTGTTCTGCATCTCTAGTAATATACATTCCTTGGATACTGTGGAATTTGGTGCCTCTTCAAGTGTGTACCCATACTCAAGTTTAATATTTGCCACATTATTAGGCAAGGATTACCCTGTTGGGTGCCAGGTCACCCAAAGCTAGCTTTATAACAAATCAAGGCTTAAGGATAAGAGAACACCTATTTTAAAGCATAAATTTATAATAATGGTGAGCATAACAAACATCATTAGATTGTCTTAACAATAAAGATTCTCACTGGTTATATCAGCATTTCAGTTAACTCATACGCTCCCTAAAATTAATAAATTTTTCTGTCTGTCAACATAAAATGTGAGTGTCTTTATCCTGGATAGATGCTATTTGCATGGAGGGGAAAGAGAATGGCACAGAATGAGTTCTTAAAGTTATACAATCAAAATGTGTCTGAGACTGAACTGCCATTGAAGAGGGAGATCCTGTCTCCTCTCAGCAGTGCATTTCTATCAATTTCTTAGGACAGCAACACTTCTTTCAGGGATGGTGTCAGTCAGGTTAGTGAGCTCCACAACTGCAAATCTCCATCATTTGTGCCAAGAGAATGGAGACTGTGGCAGTGCACACCCACAACTGAAATGAAAGTGGTCTTTTGGAGCCGTTTAGCTTTACAGCGGCTTAAACCAGTTTGAGACTGTGCCCAGGAACCTCTTTTATACTCTATCCCAAGGCAGAATAAACTAATTTTGCCTATTGTTTTTTTTGTTTCCTGTGACTGGGATCAGGGAACTGATTTGCAAGTAAGTTTTGTTAGCTTTCAAATGGATCAGTTCCCTGACTTGTTTGTGTTCAGTCCACAAATACTACTAGTACAACAGAACTAATCCTGACAAAAGAGAGGAAGCAGGAATGCCTAACAAGGCCTAAGAGTAATGGTAAATATAACCCTTGCAGGGCAATATTGCCTTATGCCAGATTAGGGTGACAATTTTACCAAAACTTAACAAACCACGAAAGCTGTGTAGTCTGCTCTGAAAAAAAGGCTGCCACAGCTACACAGCTAGTTCAGGTACCACCAGCAAAAGCCACTCCTTTGAATTTCTGTACAGGACCACACACATAACTCATGAGCAACTTATCTATTCTCTAAGAAGCCTGAGGTGGAAATGCATATTTTTTCTGCAGGTGGGCAATAAAAATACTAATTATCATAGTGCCAAGAATAATATTTTGGTAGGCTATAATAGAAACTTACTTGATGTGTCCCCTTTATATCTTAAATAATCTGTCAGTTTGGTATCATTCTAACCTCAATAGACTATGTGACATTCTGAGTCCAAGTATATTGTTTTTTGATGTATGTGACAGGATGAATTTGCTCTGTTGCACTATGTCCCAATGGCTGTATTTTCCACGCCAAAAGGAGTGCACTGACCTGGTAGTCCAACATGAGGAGTAATGTGCACCGCACGCTGACATCACCGGGTCTTTTCACCTGGAAGCCATCTGTCTCCTGGGTTGTGGGAGTTCTGTGCCACTGCCAAAGGAAAAAAACAAGTAAGACGGTCAATCTTTTTTTTCACTGATGTCCACAGAGGTGTATCTTGCACAGTAGGCCATGCAAGAATAAGACAAGTACAAGCCTTCTGAAGATCCTGCAATTAAAAAAAAACCAAACAACACAACAACACCCCCACCCCCCCCAGTCATTTCTTGCTCTGCCCTTACAATTCAGCTTTAGTGCACAATCTGTTCTACTGTTAGCATGCTTTACTTGTTAGGAAAAATGCACACAATTTTTTCATCATTTCATACATTCTGTTCTAAGGTGTGCACTACATCACTACCGCATCTATGTTTTTAGACTATATAGATTCTGTTAGGAAAACACTCTTAAAAAGAACGGAATTTTGAAAACTTTGAAAATACCTTAAATGAGATAATGAATGCAAGGTAACTTAAACAAGGTAGACAACAGGCACATAGCGGTTTATCTGTGCTAGTATCAGGTTTGTATGCAAAGGGTGCACGACCTTCTTACCTCCACAAGATGGTTGTCAGGTCCATAAAGATCTTTGTCCAGTTCAATAACCAAACTCTTAAAAAAAGATGAAAACTTTCGTTTCTGTTTGCTGAGCTGTACAATCAGAAGAAACAGAAATATTTAAGGCTGCATATATTAGCTTATGTTCTATGCTTCATTCTCAGGCTTTCCCTTTCTCTTGAACATTAATTCCCATATAGACCACAAGTGTGATCAATCTAATTGAGTTTTCCCTCTGACAAATGCAGGCTAAGATACAAAAATCTCAACAGTGGTGGAACAGTGCACACTTAAGGGAAGATTTCCCTGACTCTCTTAATGTTGTTGGAAAGGACTGGCTTTTAAGGTGAACATGGCACCCGTGAGAGCGGGTCCAGAGGAGGCCATGAAATTGATCCAAGGGCTGAAACACCTCTCCCATGAGGACAGGCTGAGAGAGTTGGGGTTGTTCAGGCTGGAGAAGAGAAGGGTCTGGGAAGACTTTATTACAGCCTTTAAGTACTTAAAGGGGGCTTAAAAGAAAGATGGGGACAGACTTTTTACCAAAGCCTGACAGGACAAGGGCAACGCTTTTAAACTGAAAGAGGGTAGGTTTAGATTAGGTATAAGGAAGACTTTTACGATGAGGGTGGTGAGGCAGTGGAACAGGTTGTCCAGAGAAGCTGTGGATGCGTGTCCTGGTTTCAGCTGGGATGTAGTTAACTGTCTTCCTAGTAGCTGGTACAGTGCTATGTTTTGAGTTCAGTATGTGAAGAATGTTGATAACACTGATGTTTTCAGTTGTTGCTCAGTAGTGTTTAGACTATAGTCAAGGATTTTTCAGCTTCTCATGCCCAGCCAGGGCACCCGACCCAAACTGGCCAACAGTGTATTCCATACCATGTGACGTCCCATCTAGTTTAGGAACTGCGAAGTGGGGGGCAGGGATTCGCCGCTCGGGGACTGGCTGGGTGTCGGTCGGCGGGTGGTGAGCAATTGCCCTGCGCATCATCTGTACATTCCAATCCTTTTATTACTACTGTTGTCATTTTATTAGTGTTATCATTATCATTATTAGTTTCTTCTTTTCTGTTCCATTAAACCGTTCTTATCTCAACCCACGAGTTTTACTTCTTTTCCCAATTTTCTCCCCCATCCCACTGGATGGGGGGGGAGTGAGTGAGCGGCTGCGTGGTGCTTAGTTGCTGGCTGGGGTTAAACCACGACAATGCCCCATCCCTGGAAGTGTTCAAGGCCAGGTTGGATGGGGCTTTGAGCAACCTGGCCTAGTGGAAGGTGTACCTGCCCATGGCAGAGGGGTTGGACTGGATGATCTTTGAAGTTCCCTTCCAACCCAAACCATTCCATGATTCTAAGGCCACTGTATACCTTTTATTTTAATAGCTTCAGGTTTTTGATGAATGCTAATTTCTTGGCCTGATTTATAAGATGACAGTAAATTTTACAGATTAATCATACACTAAGTAAAAGTACTTCCTTTTACATTTTGCCTTTCCATTTAATTATCAGTATTCACTGTTTACTACAGAGCTCATACTGTCTAAATTAAAAACTGAGAGGTCTACAATCACATAATCTGACTTTCCACAGAATACAGTCCACAGGATTTCAATGAATGTCTTCTATTTAATGCAGATAATCTTTTAGAAACACATCCTCCTTCGATTTAAAATTTGCCAGTAATTGAGAAGCTATTTTGTTCCAATAAAGAATCTCCTTCTTTTTTAAAATATCTGCTCTAATTTCTAAGCTGAATTTGCCTAACTTCAACTTCCAGATGTTGCACTTTGTCACCCCTTTATCTTCCAGCAAGATTATAATTCTGATTCACGTACAGTTATCTCCAGACAAACAGACGTGCCTTGAAAGCCTTGCCCTCTCCATACATGCATGTTCTCTATCTGTTTATCCTATCAAATACTTAGCTTGTGAAGTCTATTCAAATAGGTGACACCTGTATCAGGAAAGTCCAGCCTTCCCCGAGGAATGTTAAATCCATCACTGAGGTTTCTGAGGACTTCAGAATGACAAAACTTTTCTTCCATCTTGCTCTGACCATCCATACATCCTCTTGCCCTCCCTAGGAACATAAACCACTCGCTTGTCCTTGTTATCCTACTCTTCACAACATGCAATGCCTGCTGTAGGCCTGACTCATCACACCTCTTGTGACCTGAAGCCTGCCATATCTTTTAAGGGAATCATCTCGGCCCTATTCTCTCCACCTCCTACCTGTCCTGTCCTTAAGTCTGCTCCATTTCCTGCTGCCCTCCCCACCGCTCCCCAACATTCCCATTATGGCATTATCCCTCACTCTGGCTGGACATGGCACCTTCCCAGCAGCAACAAGCCAATGCTGCCATTCAGAGATGTCTTGTCTGAGTTGATGTCCCCAGTAAAAGTCCACCACCCCACAGGACAATCTCTAGATCCTTGCCAGCCCCAGTGAAGCACAGGTAAGTCATACGTCATCCAGGAGCTTCCCCTCCACTCGCAGCTCCCATGAAGCAATGCTGCCATCAGAGTCATCAGCGTCAGATTTTGCAGGATTAAATGTGTTGGAGATGTAAAGTCTCAGTTTCCGCTTTTGCTGTTATACAAATAGAGAAAAGAAAAATACACATCCGGTTTAAGTCCAAGACCTGAGGAAGCCACAGGAAAGGTGGTAAGTTACACATTTAGTAGAGAATCTGCATGTTCAGTACCGTTGCACCAGGTTATACTAGAATTTAAGATTTTAAGAAAATACACTGAAGAGCTGATCTGAAACTTCCTTTCAAAAACTATTGGCCATACAAACATACTAAGATCCACTGTAAGTGGAGAAAGACAGGAGGTTGCAGGGCCAAGGCCATGAGGCTATACATCCTGTACTTCCGGATTAGGTATTTGAGAAATCATTGTAAGAAAAGCACGATATGATGTCCTTCCTGTCTAGATCCTAGCTAGATTGCTAAGACTCAGTTGCAAACCTCTTGCTACATGAGTGTCTTTCACAGTTGCATCAGTTCTGATTTGTAAATGGCATTCACAAATACAGCTAATGCTGCAAATTACATGCTGGGCCCATGCTCTGCCCATCTTCATTCTACCGTCATGCAGAGCCTGTTAATAGTCCTCCTACAGACACACACCTAAATACACACACACCCTCCTGCTGCCTAACCTTCCTTCTTTAACTGCCTTTCACCCTAATAAACAAGTTGCAGCTCCAACGTGCTGTGAGACCTGAGTGGAGGAAGGCACTGTGCTTCATCATTAACCCAAGTGCTCAAGTCTGTGAGAGATACAATTATGCCCATCTGTTGTCATTTTTACAGGCTTTCTAACATTTCCCAATCACTGTACTGGCTTATGGCTATGTTATTGCTCAGAGCCCTTCTCTCCCGTGCACCATGTGGAAAACCTGGCCATTAACTATGATGCATGGATTCCAGAAAATATATTGCCAAAAATTTCTTTGGGACTCTAATCTCAAATATCTGTTTATAATATAATGACAAAAAGGCTACAGTTGTCCAGTTAATGCAGTCAAAACAACCTTCATCCAACATAAGAAAGGAGCAGTCTTATAAAGCTTTCATACTCAGACATACACACATATAGGAGAGAAGGAAGTTATATACATCACGTCAGGAAACTAAAAATCTGATATGGCATAGAGGAATGTGGGAGGCAGAGATAGATGTATGGCTAAAGAGGAACAAGAAACTGACTACACTTTGCCAAATCTAGAGAAGACAGTGACATAAAAGTTTGATGGAAATGGAGTGTCAATAGTATGCACTCACGGGGGACAGGATTTTCAAAAGTGCCAAGAGTCCAGAAAATAACAGGTTGACACAGATAAGAACAGGCAGATAGGTAGAAAAATATTCCTAGAAATCTTTATTCTTTCTCCATCCTTTCCTACAGGATTTCTGTTGCTAAAGTGCTCTTTCATTACATAAAATGGGTTTTTTTAAGGCCCCAGAATCTCTATTTGTTGTGGAGGATTTGTGAAGGACTTCACATTTCTAAATTCACAACTCCTCAAATTAAGCTGCACATTTTGTGCACTGTTCCTAAATTTTATCCCCACCTGGATTATTTGCAAAACTGTATCTATATACATAAGCAGCTTTTTTCTTAATAGTTCCTCCTAGATATTCCACCGACATTTCAGGTTTATATCACTGATTCCATTTCCTCTTCTTTTGATTTCCAAAGACATTATCTCCATTCTCCCTTTTACCCTGGAAACTCCTTCTCTCCTCATACCTCCCCATATCCAGATAGGAACTGTGTCTGTTTCCTTCGAAGTCCGACATTTCATCACTAAGATCATCCTCTGCACTAACATCCCTATTCAAATCTGAGTATTTTAGAGGTCTTCCTTTCTCCTAGCTTTCAGGCTCTAGCTGCCTTGTACAGTCCACCTAAAACCAAGTTAGTAACAATGCCTAACTCCACTGTTAAATACAAAATACCCCTCCTTGATATTTTCCACTGTTTCCCTTTGCTAACCCCTTATCATTTTTCTTTCAAGTCAAGCACAAGCCAGATGCAGCTTACATTTCAGAACTGGTCTCTTGCTGGGTTCGCTATACTTTCCCTGCTCTGCCAAAGTCAGAGTCTGCGTATCATTTGTTTGTTTGTCCCACATCTCTCTCTTCAATTTACAGTGGTTTTTTCTACACAATGAATTATCTTTCTCAGATTTAATCCTTTCCTCACTGTAATCCCTATAAATCAGCCCACTTCTTCCACATTGTCATCAGAAAGGAACTTAGAATAATTATGAATAAAAATCCTAAGTAATGGCTATCTCTAAAGTTACCTTTTGTCCTACTTTCTACGTATCTTGATTTTAGATCGAAAACCATTTAGCCTTTGACTCCCAACACGTTACAGACACTACTGACAACCTGTAAGTACTATAGAATGCTGAGCCTTTAGTCTCTGCTAAGAAAAGACATTCTATCCAACATGCAAAATGTGTAACTTGCACCTGGGGGCTGTCTTCAGATTTTGGCCCAAGAGGTACTGCAAATTTGCAGCACTGTTAAGGCAGTGATTATCTCCCAAATGCAACCACTGAAAGATCCTTGCTTCTGACTCATCAGGAAATCAGTCAAATAGCACAACTGCACAGCTGCAAGAGGATCCCAACACCAAACGGGCTTTAAATCTAACAAAAATCTTTATTAGAACACAAAGCAGAATAAGGGAACATAAAGAAAGAAAACTCACATTTGCCTGGTAAAATGGAATTTAAAAAAAAAGGTTTTGTAAACCAAATTTTCTCTGCTCACATGTCCTTGAAAATGGTTCATTTCTTCAGGCTTGCTCTTATTCCAGCAACTGTGTGATTTCCGGAGTTGCAGAAAACTCTGTAGGGTCATTTCTGGGGAGACACAGAGAATCCTCTCTTTTTATTCCTTAAGATCCAACTGTGTTTGTGCTATTGCCTTCTTTCAGGAGACTCCAAATTTCTGCTTTTTCTTCCGGCTTCTTACTGAATGAGGCAGTCCCTCATCCTTTTTGCCTCACTGACTGGCCTACCCTGCACTCCAGCTGGCACAATCTTCCCCTCCCTCTGAGGGCTCTACCAGGCCAAGTGCACCTTAGGACATGGCAAACATTAGCCTTCCTTTCTACAGCTGAGCCACCACCCTTTAAAATGAACCTGCACAGCCAACTGCAATCAGGTGTCAGCCATCACAGTTGTCATAACCAGTATCTCTAGACCTGACCTGCAAAGTGCAGCCAGATCTGCCAAAGATGTTCTGCTAAGCAGTCTAAAAAAACTGTGGAAAAGACATTTGGCCATGAACATTGCTTGAACAGCCAAACCTGTCCTTCTCTGTACAGCACTGTGCTGACCCAGAAACATTCAAGCCTCCACAACTACTTTTCTGAAGCTGCTGCCAACATGTCCACCTCCTGTTTGTTCCCTTATGAGTTGCTGCTCCATTTTTTCCTTCTTTCTGACCTTCCCAGAATTCCCACTACCACCTCCTCCTTACACATGTCTAGTGTTGCCAGCACCACTGGCTCCTCATAAAAGCTACCTGGGAACAGCTCTGCTCAAGACATTCTGGGAGGCTGACTATCTACCAGTTCCAGAAACTAGACAACAGCATTTGAACTTGCCCTACATACGCTTATCAGCAACTGCAGTAATACATACTTTGAGCAGTGGCATTAAAGAAAATACACTTAGAAATCTCTAGCGAAACATCAGAACCATAGCTCTACAAATGAACGTTTTCTTTGGACCAGCAGGCTCCTTCTCCTCTACCATGACTTTTCTCCTGTCAGCTGTGAGACACTACCATCTCACCTGATGAAGAAGATCCTGGCAGAGATCCAAGAGTATAGTCTGAATCCCTCCTGAAGGAATCTACCCAGTGAGTAACAACTTCAGCACTCACAGCTATACTGCTAGCATAAGGAGGTCCAGTCTTGGAAGATGGCAGCTCAGAGATGATATAGATAGTCAAAACTGAGCTCAAGAAAGAAGGAACACCAAAATGGTGCTGGCTGGGGTTTTATAGCCACTATACAGACCATAAAGCCTCCTTGGCTAAAGACACACACCCAAAATCACTGCACTCGGTTCACTTATCAGTACTCCTGGGTTCCACAATAATGCCAAGTTCATATCCAGAAAGCTCTGAGAGTGAGGTATTCTTCCGTCTCCAGCTGAGCAACTCCATCTCATCCAGACGGGAAATGATACATCAGTTACCTACAACTTGGTTACGCTGCAGCTTAAATACAGCAGCGTGACATACTTGGGCAAGAAGCCGCTGCCCTTCAACAAATTCTACAAATTTCTTAGCGATGCACGTTATAGCACAGATCTAAAATCTATTCTCCTCTCTGTGTGGTGGCTTCTCAGAGAACGGAAAAGCAACCAACCAAAACCTGAGGCCTTGTTTTTTACTGGTAGGATTCTCAGAAGCTTGGGGCAAAAACTAAAGAGAAAACTTACAGCTCTACGGCAAGAAGAAAGCATCACATTTCACCTCTTCAGACACACTGAAACTTTGCCACCCAGAAAGACAAAGCCCAACAGGGGGGAATATCACAGAGACTTGATCAACGTTGTGAATCAAATAACCTCTTGCTGAAGTTAAAGTTTTCTTCAGTGAACTCTCAGGTAGGACACAGTACCTCCAGGACACTTCCAGGGAAGTTGTGCTTGGGATTTCAAACAAATTAACTGAGTTATCAGCAGATAGACTATTGCTGACTGAATCAAGGAAATCTGGCTGCTGATCCTATGAATAGTATTAAGAGCTCTCTATGCACGTCTTAAGGATGGATTTCTATGTACCTCAACAAAGCATAAAAACCTCATGCATAAAGCACAGTAAAGATTAAAATCTGTGTTTCTGTCTTCGTATGGTCTCACAAAAACTTTTTAGGAAGGAAAAAGAACCATCAAAGATAAAAGTATCATGGAGACTAGAAATCAGGAGACAAAAAGAACAATGACCACCAATAACAAGTGTTCAAGTCTGACCATTATAAAAGAATCGAATGAAACAGAGAGTGTTCATATCAGAACTGGAATATAGAGGTATTGCTCACCCAGAGTAG